ATACTTTTCTCTGCATGTACTTTTATAAAACTATTTTTGTCGTTTTCTTCTTAGTAATAACTTTCATGTATACATTTTTTTATGTTGCCTATAAGAAGTCATACCCAGATGTGAATATTTAGAGCAGTGATTGCCAAATTTAGCAGGCCTCAGAATCACCTAAAGCAGGGATTAGTAGTTTTTTTCTCTCTAGGGCCAGATCACAAATATTTCGGGCTGACGCGACACCTTGGCTCTGCTGCTGTTGCAGGAAAGCCGCCACCATGGGCAATATGGAAACAAATGGCAATGGCTGTGCTCCAAAATTTCATTTCCCAAAGCAGGCAGTAAGCTGGATTTGGTCCCTGCACTGTAGTCTGCCGACCCTACTTTAGAAAAGGGTCCCATGTATATTCATTGAGCGCAAACTCTGTATTCAAGGCACTTGGCGAAAACAAAGATCCCTGCCCTCAGGGAGCGCACATTCCAGTACCTCTGTTAGAAATAAGCAAACTAAGTCTCATGATGTGATGAATTCGGAAGTTGATAAATACAGTGGACACAGAGAACAAGTAGAGCAGAGTGAGGGGAGTGGGCGGGTTTCAAGTATAAGAGGATGGTTTGGGGGGGGCGCCTGAGTGGCTGGTTGATTAAGCAGTTAAGCATCTGCCTTAGGCTCAGGTCATGGTCCTGGGGGTCCTGGGATCAAGCCCCTTATTGGGCTCCCTGCTCGGCGGGGGCCCTGCCTCTCCCTCTGCCCGCCCTGCTCACGCTCTCTCACTCACTCACTATCTCAAAAAAAAAAAAAAATCTTTTAAAAATAAAGTAGGATAGTCAGGGTAGGGATGGTTTATACAAGGGTGTGAAGGAGGCAAGGAAGTTGGCCTGTGGACGTCTGAGGAGAGAGCTCTAGGTATAAGGAACAGCCCATGCAAAGGCCCTAAGGCAGGAATGTGTCTGGTGTGTTTCAGGACTAGCAAGGTCAGTGAAGGTAGAGTGGAGTAGGTGAACAGGAAGAGGTTCATGGTTTATGTCTTCTGGAAGATGTCTGTGGCTTTGGGGAGCCTCTGGGGCAGAGTGCTTTCTCTACTACAGTAACTTCCTTTTTCTCACTTAATAGTTTTAGACTATTTTGCCACATGTATAAGTGTTCTGCAGCCTAACATTTAAAAGTCACATAATGTTCCATCATGTGACTACACCATTTATTTTTTTAATTCCCTGTCAGTGAACTCTCAAGTTGTTTTTTTAAATTTGTATCACTATAAACAGCACTACAGTGAACATCCTTTTGGCTAAATCTTTGACTGAATCCAGCGTTTTTCCTTAGAATAGATTCCTAAAAGTACAATCACTGAGTCAGAATGACAACAGAATAGTAAGACCTTTGTTGTATATTTGCCAGGCCCTTTTATTTATTTATTTTTAAGATTTTATTTATTCATTTGTCAGAGAGAGAGAACACACACAGAGGAAGCGGCAGGCAGAGAGAGAAGCAGGCTCCGCGCTGAGCAGGGAGCCCGATACAGAACTCGATCCCAGGACCCTGGGATCATGACCTGGGCCAAAGGCAGACACTTAACCGACTGAGCCAGGCAGGCGTCCCTGCCAGGCCCTTTTAAAGAGCGCCATCACCCCCAGCTACAAACTGTTCAGACATACCCCTTCCCGCCTTTCACACTGTGGATCTTGGTTCCAGGCTCAAGCACGGACATCAGCGAGGACTGGGAAAAGGACTTCGACTTGGACATGACCGAAGAGGAAGTGCAGATGGCACTCTCCAAAGTGGATGCCTCTGGGGAGGTGAGTGGGCCTGGTTGGCCTCAGGGAAGTAAGCTCAATGATCCCAGTGTGTGAGGACTCTCCCCATCAGGCCCAACCGTCCCCTAAGGGTGGATCCCTGCTCGTCTCTGAGATGGCAGCTTCCCGAAGGGTGCTGGGGCCTCCCACTCAGGGCCTGAACACTTCCCATCAGCAGGCTCTGCTTCCCCTCAGTTCCAGGGTAGACAGTGGGAGAGTTCCTGATATTAGCTCTGCATGAAAGTCACCTGAGGAACTACTAAAAAAAAAATGTAGACTCCAAACCCTGCCCCACATCATGGTCCCCAGGGATGGTCCTGAACAGATTTCCTGGCCTTGGGGCAAAAGACAGTGTGATCTAGGGCAAGTCACTTAACCTGAGCTTCTGTTTCACCATCGAAAACCTAGAACTGGCCCTAGAAGCTGTGATAGACAATGCATGTAGATGTGTTAGGCGTCGTGCCTAGGACATGGGAGCACGTGGTGAACACTACTGAAGCTGCCACAAAACCCGTCCAGCTAGAAAGCTCAGAGGCCTACCTACTCTTATGCTTCATTACCTGCCAAAGTCAAGAATGGGTCATTTTGAATGGAAGGCAGGGGAAAAGCTCTCACAATTACTAAGTGACAGAGGACTGAGGCTCCAGGCCAGATGTCTGATTCAAGTCCGTGCTGCTTCCACAGTCACACAAGAACCACATGATTCCTTCCATCTTGTAGCTTCTGAACCTGCTATAAAGAGGTGAACAGATGAGAGAGACAGGCAGGGCCTCGGTTTTCATATTGGAAAACTGAAGCCTGGGGAGAGGTAGAGAGCTACCCAAGAGTCTTTGGCTCCTGTGACCTCATTATGCCCAGGGCAGAGAAGGCCCCTGATCCCCTCTCATGTCCCAGGGGCTCGATGCCTCCTGTGTTTCCGCGGCCCTCAGTAAAACCTGACAGCCGTAGACCTAAGCAGCGTCATTCTACCACCTCCTACCACCTCTCGTACCCGGGATCAGCTGACAGCAGGCCAATAGAAAGTTCCCTGGGGAGACTTCAGCTGGGGGAGTAGGGTGCTGGAGCCCCTGAGAAAGATCCTGTGAGCACCCTCACGGCAGTGCCCCTCTCCAGTTCTCCTTCAGGGACTGACCGATGCGGTTCCTAGGGGCATCCGGTGTCGGCTGACGGAAGCATTTCCTGTGGGTCTGCAAGGATCAGAGCAGCAGACCCCCCCCTTAGGTGGAGGATAGCTCTGCTCCCCAGACACATTCCTTAAGACAGTGGTTCGCTCTCACAGAGGGCAGGAGGGTACGGCCCAAGGCAGGGCTGGGCGGGGTGGGGGAGGCTATCTGTGAATGGAGGCGGCAAGGGGAGGTTGGGTCTGGGCTTGACTCAGAGGAGTAAATACGTGTTTGTGCTCTCCATTACCCCTCCTGTCCGCAGCTGGAAGATGCAGAGTGGGAGGACTGGGAGTGAGGGGGCGGAGCGTGCAGCTCCCCCGCACACCGGGCCTCCCACCCCCTCGCCTGTCTCAGCCCGGCCAGGAAGACACTGACTGAGAAGGTCCCCCCATGGCCTCTGTCAGCCAGAGCTCGGGTGCAGATTCTGGGTCCTTGCTCCTTGCTGGTCCTTGGGGCCTCTGCTCACATCTGGGAAGGGGCTCACTAAATCCAAACCAGGAACTCTGACTTGTGCCAACCTTAGGATGACTCAAGGGGGAGGAGACCTGCCCCTCCTCACCAGAAGAGCCTGCATCTCTCTGCTGAACACCCACTGTTCTTAGGGACTCTTGCTGGGAAGTCCCAAGGGATAGTTCTAGCCCTTCTCCCTGTGTAGACAGAAGCTAAGCACCAGTGTCTTAGAGGAAGCCGAGACAACACTCTGTCCACCCATAGGCAGGCGAGGAAGGCCGTCCCACCTGTCCTTGGCTAGACAGGATGGCAAGCACATTCTGGTTTCTAGCCCAGTGAGTAAGAGGCATTCGTCTCTGGGAAACTTGCCTCTCTTGGGGATCTTCCCCTCCCAGGCATTTTCCATTCCCAGAAAGGTTCCTTGCGGTTACAAATCTAGAGACCAAACCCTGAGTTCCCACCTCCTTCCTTCTGTCCACCCCAGGCTGGTATGTCCCCAATGCCTCTCCCAGGGCTTCTTCATGTCGGACGCACCCAAGTCCTTAGCCCAGCTGTGCCACCTGCAAGAGTCTGCTCTTGCATTTCTTCCCCTCCCCCAAGAAGGGAGGGGGTCACTTCAGGCCCTTCTGTGCATTGCCTGGCGGGATACCTTGTCCAACCAGCTACCCACCTCGACCCCCTGTAGCTTAGGACACAAGCCAGCTACCAGTGGTACAGAGCAGCGATCAAAGCCGAGTACTTACAACTCTGGTAAGCCCAACTTCTCCACCTCAGCCCTTCTGCGGCTTGAAGGGGTATGCTGGGGTGAACTTCTTGAGACTCTCATCAGGCTTCTGCAAAAGCTCTTCTTCCTGAAGACTGACCCAGTCTTTGTGGCTCTCACCCTTCACTCTGGTAAAGCTGTTCCTCTCTTGGGGGAATGAGGGGCTGCAGGAATTTCTGGAGACCCTGGTGCTTCATGATGCTGCTCTGGTGATTCTGGTACATAATCTGGTGTATTCACCAATGATTTAAAGGGATTGTGGTCAGGTCTGCCAAGAGAGTGGTGGTCCCTTCCACTTCAAACCTTCAGTGGGGGGGTGGGATGGAAAGAATGTTGAATCTTTTTTTTTTGACGGGATGGGGTTTTTCTCTTTGTAATTATTTCTTTAGTTTAATTAACCTTTTGGTTGTTTGTGCAATATTATATATTTTAAATTATAATGCATCTCCCCAGAGTATTTTGTAGCCAGGAAAAGAAAAAAGGGAAAAAAAAAAAAAAAGATTCTAACAGCTGTTAGTTTTGTAATTAAAAAAGAAAGAAAAAAGAACTTTGTTCTGAACCTTTTCCAGACTTGCCGTTAACAGCATTAAAGAGATTCAACAGAAGCTGGAAGTCTGGGGGTCTCTTCTTGTCCCCAACAGCAGCTGCCCTGGAGGCAGGGCAGGACGGACACGGTGTGCAGGCTGGCTTCCTGCGTGGAGCCTGGGGAAGGGGCAGGGGCAGGCAGGGAGGGGTGGTCTGGGTCTCAAGGAAGTCCTCTGTCCTCACCTCAGACTCAGCTTAGACTCTGGGGTGAGGCAGGGACCAGGCCCCCAGCAGGCCTCTCACCAAGACAAGGAGTCTCTGCATTCCCAGCGCTTCTGCTTTTATTTGGAAAGGAAGTTGCAACAGCGGTGGTTCCAGTTGCTCTTGGTCACTTTTCCCCTCTCCTCCCCCAGTGTGTGTATGATTCTGGGGTCTGGGTTTTGTTTTTGTTTTTTTCCCCATTAATCTGAGTTAAACACCTGTGTGAAAATCACTTGTTAGCTGTAATAAAAGGGAAGTCTGAACGAGGCCCTCTGGTTGCATGAAGATCTTTAAAGGGAAAGAGAAGTAAGGCTTGGGGAGGGTGTAGGTAAGTTTTAGGATAGAAGTAAACTTCAAGTGTAAAATATATATCACCATCTTAGAAGCAGGTTTTTGGGTTTGCTTTCTTCCCCTGTTTTATTGGGGAGGACTTGCCATTGCTTTTATCAAGTGCTTGCTAGCCATGGATGCCAACTAACTTCTTCGATTGAAGGCCGGAGGATCGTATCTGGTTCCAGGAGCCGCCTGAGCAGGTCCTGGCACTCGGCCGAGATGCCCAGATGAGCAGGGAAGGACACCCCCTTCTGCTGCTGCCACAGCATCTTGGGGATGTCTGTGTCGTCAAAAGGTAGGCTGGCGCAGAGCATGACGTACAGGACGACGCCCATGCTCCAGACGTCCCCCTTCTTGCTATCATGGGGGACACCCTGCAGCACCTCGGGGGCGGCATAGGCTGTGCTGCCGCAGAAGGTCTGGCTCAGCTCTCGGCGTGACTTGGGCAACACCTTAGCGAAGCCAAAGTCAGTCAGCTTCAGGTTGAATCCCTGCAACAAGGCGTTCTCACATTTGAGGTCCCGGTGGGCCACACCACAGCCATGGCAGTAGCGGATGGCCTCGACCATCTGACGGAAGAGGGCCTTGGCCCGGTTCTCGGGCAGTGGCCCCCCATTCAGCACACAGTCAAAGACATCCCCTCCTTCAGCCAGTTCCATCACCAGGTAGATTTTCCCGTCGGCAGACTCCAGCATCTCATACACCCGGATGATGTTCTTGTGGTCCAGGGTACGGACAATCTGGAGCTCCCGAGGCAGGAATCTCTGGATAAATTCTGAGGAAACAAGGGGAAAAGACGGGGTATCAAGTCCAGAAGGGCATAACTCTTAACTCCTGCCTCCTGCCTTCCAGCTTCTGTCTGCCCACCGTGTCTGGGTCTGGTGCCTTGGTTCCCATTAACAGTCTTAAATGTCTAGCTGCTTGGACATTGCAAAGAATGCTCACTGCTATTATTTTTGTAGTTAATTTATTATTCAAAGGAACGACTCCCTGCTACCCTCAGGGACTGTTGTGGGCAACCTGTGAGGCCATGGATATCAAAGTGCTTTGGGGATTTTTTAGACAAAACCACTGAATCTCAGTTATGAGACCTGATTTGCCCACAGCATGGTGAGCCAACTCCTCACACCCCTGCCTCCTGACCCACAGTTCTTCCCTTGAGCCCTGTCTGCCTTTTTCCCACTTCTGCCTGCCTTGGCAGCAGCTCCTACCCTCTGCCAGCCTAGGCCATGGCCTCTCTGCCCATCTCCGTCCCCCTCCTGGAACAAGGAAGGCCCAGCAGGCTGGGGTTGTGCCTCTGAGGCCCTTTACCTCCTGCCACTTTAATCTTGGGTTTTAGAGGTGTGAGGTTCCTGGACTCCCAGCATCCTTCTGTTCCCCCCATCACCCCCCATCACCCCCCATGACCTGTCCCAGAGCCACAAACTCTCTTGCACTCCTTGGTTCCAGACTAAAGGGGAGTAGGGGATGATCCTTCCCACTGGAGGAAGTGCCCACCCACTTCAACCAGTCCTCCCTTCTTCCAAAGGGGCCCCAGCTCACCTTCTGGCCCTCCCATCTTGTCTATAATTTTAATTGCCACTTTTCTTTGGTGTTTTTTGGAAAATGCTTCTTTGACTTTTGAGTAGGTCCCTTCCCCAATGGTCTTGCCCAGCTGGTACCCATTGGAGAGCAGAAAGTCCTCCATGCTGTCTAGCGCCTCCTTCCTATCACCCTCTCAGCTCATGCTGCCTCTGTGAGGCAGCTCTACTCCACCATCGCCCTTGGCCTGCTCCTTTTCCCCCCAAGGACTTCATGCGCAGCCGCCCCCAGCGCTAGAACATTCTCCGTCTGGACACAGCAGCCACGGGTGGTGGGGAGGGAGAGGGCCAGACATTTTAAAAACTACGGCCCAATTGTGATGTAAATGCTGTGTGACCCTTGGCCAAAATTGTCAGTGCCCTTACCTGCCCTCACCATCACCACCACCAAACCCAGCACGGGTTAAGTCACCGCCGCGCCCCCGTCCCCCAGCCAGGCAGGGAGTCGCAGCCCGCTCCTGGGCGTCCGCGCCCCGCCCGGGATGACGGGCTCCTTTTCGTGGACGCCGCCTCCTGTGCCCCCATCGGGCTGCCGGAGGCGGGGGGGGGGGTCTGCCCGGCCCGGTACCGAGGCGCCATGGCCGGAGCCTTCCGGACCCGGCTCGCGGCCGCGCGGAGTGCCGGGCGGCCCGACACGGCGAGGGGGGAGTTCCCGGCGAGAGGAACGGGCTCTGTGAGGTCAGCGCGCCGCGGCCCGGGTCACAATGCAGCCCGCCCCCTCGACGCCCCGGCCGCGGCGCGCCGCAGACACCTGCCCGGCTCCGCCTGGACCGGAGAGTCCTCCCGCGGCCAGGGGTCCGGCAGCTGCTTCCAGCCTGGGACCGGCCTCGGCCTCCGGCAGGTGAGCAACGGCCCCGGGGGCGGGGGCGGGCAGGGGGCGCCCGGCGTCCCGGGAGCGGCCTGACCGCCACTCCCCGCGCAGAGCGCCCCGGGGCCTGGACATGAGTGCCCAGGAGCCCCCGCAGGGTCGAAGGTTCCCCATTGAGGCCGGAGACTCCCCTGGCCTTGCCGCCGCCCCCGAGTCCCAGAACAGCCCGGAGCCGGTAGCCACGGAGCACAACCCGGTCAGGTGAGGCCGGCGCCCTCCCCCGCGGCCCCTCCTGCCGCCCCTCCCCGCGCGGGCGTCCGGACCGCCTGCGTACACTTTCCCTGCCCAGAACCGCGTCCCCGCGTCAGGGCCCCGCGGGACCCCAGGGGTGGGGGGGATGGCCCGGGTGCACTCCCCGGGCGCGTTCCCAACAGCAGAGGCCGGGTCCCGCTTTCCCCAGGCCGCTTCGACGCTGCCCCGGCTGCCACTGCCTGACGCTGCTGCACGTGCCCATCGACGTCTACCTGGCCATGGGCGGGAGCCCCCGGGCCCGCGCCACCTGAGTGCGCCTGCGCACGGCGGCTCCGCGGGAGCCGGGCGGGGACTAGGCCCGCCGCGGGCCAGCACGCTGAGGTCGCGCGCGCCGAGCACGAGACAGTGATGCACATTTTAAAATAAAAGAATGATGCACATTTTAATAAAGCACAGCATAAACTGTTCTTTCCACTCCGGGCTGGCCGTGTATGTCTATCCCGTCGATCGGCCGGCAAACTGCTCCTCTCCTTCCCCTCGGCTGCCTCCTCCCTTGGACCCAGCCCTAGAGGCCCGCCCTCCGCGTCCGCGCCAACCCCTCCCCCCACTTCCTACTGGTCCGGACCCCTTCCAGGGCTACCTTTCCCCTCGGCCCCTGCCCTCATCCTTCTCCTCATCCCTCTCCTCGGTTTCGCAAAGCAATTCCCATAGCTGTGCTGGATTCGGGGGTCCAGAGAAACTCTGGACTGGAGCGGTTGGACCGACAACTTAGAATAAAGAGAATGGCCACCCACACCAGCCCAGTTAAAGCTCCCAAAATGGAATTAGAGTTTGCTACCTGCTGTTCTGTGACCCTGGGCACCTCGGATTAGGGGCCTCCCAGGGACCAGAAAAAGACTGGGAAAGAAGTCGTTTGAAAAACCTTGATTTCTCATTCCTATTTTACAGGTGAGGGAACAGCCTTGAGAGACTTGCCCAGGTTCCCCCAGATGATGGTTGATAGGCTAGCACACTCCTCTAAAATCCATCCATGACCCAAGGCTGCCTGGAAGTATAGCATTTAGCTGAAGAAGTATTTTCCACTTTCCAGTTTTGCTTTAATGAGCCTGTATTATTTTAATATTGGAAAAAATACACATAACCCAGAGGTCAGGTTCAGTCTCCTGTCCCCTGAAATCTAAATGCAAATGACTTAACACCCCTAATCCACATGGGGTAGAATTCCCAGCCCTCCCTAGAGTACTTCAAAATCCCACACTCACCCAAAAGGACCACCGTTCTCGGTTTCCACATAAATTCTCTCCCAGGCAGTCCCAAATGTAGGAGACTTAATATTAAAAGAGGAGAGGATGTCACTATAATGTACACCTGAGACTAATATTACACTATGTTAACTAACTGGAATTTAAAACTTTAAAAAAGTAAAATAAAAATACAATAAAAAAAGGGGGGTGCCTGGGTGGCTCAGTGGTTAAGCGGCTGCCTTCGGCTCAGGTCATGATCCAGGAGTCCCAGGATCGAGTCCCACATCAAGCTCCCTGTTCGGCGGGGAGTCGGCTTCTCCCTCTGATCTTCCTCCCTCTCATGCTCTCTCATTCTCTCTCTCTCAAATAAATGCAATCTTAAAAAAAAAAAAAAAAGAGCACATGTTTGCCAAAAAAGGGTCTTCTTCGAAGTGAGGATTTTAGACTTGACCATTCGGTGCCTGGTCCTTCAAACACCCTCTTTCTTGAAAGCCCTCCCATGCCTCTCTTTCCCTTTCACCCACCAGAAGAATCCCTGGCTTCAGGCCACAGTGCTGGCTTCCCTCTCCTCTTCACTCCTCTCCTCCTCCACCCTTAAGTCCTAGAGAGCCCCCAGGGCTCTCAGTTCACTCTATTAGGTGCAGTAATCTAGCTGTTTCGATCCCAATCGAGCTCCATCCAGGCAAAGCCTACCCAGCATAACCCACGCTGCTGCTCTGCCGGAAAAGGGCCTTCTTCCCTGTAAACAGTCACACCCTCCTTAGAAGACCATTGTAATTTTAGAGAGAAAAAAATTATTGGCCTCTGTTATTGATGAGGTCTCTCCTTTGCAAGCAACTAAAGTTAACTTACGTTGTTTCAAGTGGCTCAGAAGGATATAAGCTTTCCAGATATGTAAACTTAAAGGAAGAACTGTAGGAACCAGGGTGTCGGCTGGGCCCACCAGGACTACCCCTTTGTTCATCTCTCAACCCCGATTATCTCCTCTGGGCGGGGAACATGCCTGTGGCAGTTTGGAAATCTGCAAATGAGAGAGGGGCTTTCTCCCACTCTCAGTTTACCTGACCTTGGGAAGGGCAGTGATTGGCCCTTCTTTTAAGTCGCATGCGCACTCTTTCAGCCAATTACCATCATCAGGGAAATGCGAGACTATGATTGATCCAGCTGGGCCAGCAGAACCTACTCTTGGGGTGGAAGCATGGCCGGGTGATGGACAGCATCACCAGAAAATAATGGGCAGAGATGGAGAAAAAACATTACGGGAGCTGAGAGAGCTTATGTAAAGATTGGGTATCCCTCGAGGGAAAGAAGCCCTGAGAGAGAGACAATGGCAGGAGCCAGGGTGACAGCTCTGTTCCATGGCAATGAGGATCCTTGGACAGTGTGACCAGGAGTCAGGCCACCGGGTTCTAGTTCGGGCTCTGTCCCTGCCTTGGTCAATACAAGTCCAACAGCCAGGCCTGTGCAAGGCACTGGGGATTCAGCAGTGAACTTTGAAGGACCACAGGCATTGGCCCTCATGGAACTCACACAGCCTAACAGGCAGGAGGCCTCACTCCAGCAAGTCCCTTTCTCACTGATTTAAAAAAAAATTAGGGGGCCACCTGGCTGGCTTGGTTGGAGGAATATTTGACTCTTGATGTCGGGATGGTAAGTTTGAGCCCCACACTGGGCATAGAGCTTACTTAAATAAATACATAAACTTTAATTTTTTATAAAAAAGACGGGTGTCTGGGTGACTTGGTTGAGTTGAGTGTCTCTTGGTTTTGGCTCAGGTCATGATCTCAGGGTGGTGGGATCAAGCCCCGCATGGGGCTCCACACTCCCTCCTCCGCCTCCCCCCCACCCCGCTCTCTCTCTAAAATAAATAAAATCTTTTTAAAAAAAGAAAAAAAAGACTTATTGCCAGCCATCCCCCGTATGCTTGGACAGTGAGTGATGCAAAGATTTCAGATACACACCTTGCCTGGAGGGGTCAGCCCAGGGGCTAGTTAGCTCCACTAGGTGGACAGAACGTTGTGCGCAAAGGCCTGGAGGCTGGAAAGTGCAGTGCACATTCCAGGAAGTCAATTCGGTCACCTTCTTCCAGCACCTACCTATCTGGGCTACACCAGGTGCTGAGAACCTAGGCTTGAATCTGACAGATCCCTGGCCCTTGCAGAGCTCAGAATTGAGGGGATCTGGAGATGATGTAACAGAAGAAAAGCTAGATCAAGAAGGCCTTGAATTTGAGCTTTGTTCTACAGGTGACAGTATGACATGCTCCAACCTGAGTCACTCACTCTCCTATTTCTTTTCTCCTTTTCCATCCTGTTCTCTGTTTCTTCCTTTTTTCCCCTGGAAAAGTCACTGGCCTAAACTCTTAGAGTCCTGACTGCCATTTACTAGCCGCGCAAACTTGGGCTAGTTACTTAGCCTCTCTGAGTCCCCATTCCCAAATCTGTAAAATGGGGTTAATGACACCTGCTGGGAGGTTTCAGGCCGTACAGCACCAGGCAGGAATTTCCGGCACAGCCAGCACTCGAGCAAGAGAGGCTGCCGCTGATCCTACCCCTGGCTTCGAGGGGCAGCCGAGAGCCAGCCAGTCAGGTCCCCTGGGCCTGGGTGATGTCCAGCCTTGGAGAGGGTTGGGGAATCCCTCTTGCCTCCCTCTGCCAACTTCCCAGCAGTTCTGCTCATGAGCCTAGGAACTTGGTTGAGGGGCATTTCCAGGGGAATCCTCAGATGGGAAGGGGAGAGCTGCCTCCCTCACCCTTGAGGGTAAAGCTGTCCCCAGACCCCAAGGCAGGACCCCCTGATCCCAACCTTATTCTCTGGGCCCAAGGAATAGGGAGGGACCTGGGGAAAGGGGCATACTCCAATCACGGCTTCCCCTCACTTGCCTCTCAGACACCTTATTAGCTAGCCCCTCCCTAAAGGACCCCCTTTTAGAAGGAGGGGGCGAAGTACAGATGGACCCCCAGGTTACCATGGAGATGGCAGGGAAAAGGTTGCTGTATCGTCATGGCAACAATTGACGTCAGTACTACCCTTTCCTGTTGCTTGATATGGGGGGGGGCAGCCACCCCAACCACAAGCAAATACCCCACAAAGCCTCCTTCCCTTCCTGAGCCAATCAGCCAGGGGGTCGACAGGCTTAATATAGCACAGAGTTAAAAGCAGTCTCTGATGTCAGTCAAACGTTGGTTCAAATCCTCGTTTTGCCTCGTCTAAGCTGTGGGAATTTTAGCAAGTTCCTGAAGCCCTGGAAGTCTCATTGTACAATGGGGATAAATAAGCCAGTGCTTCCAAGGGCAAGTGTGAGGACTGCATGGGATCATGCAGGTCATGGGCACCAGGCCAGCTCCTGGGAGGTGCACACTGACATTAGGGACCCATCAGTGGATGTGGACCTTAGGATATAGACTCACAGTCCCTAGAGAGCCTAGAGAGGATTTCCAAGGACTGGGCTCCCGAGTTTGAGCATCTCAGAATTTGGAGGGGGGAGGTCTCAAGGTGGAGCCAGAGAGAGTGGAATTTCCAGACTCTGAGGAAACCCCAGATGCCACTTTCCCTGAAACCTCGTCACATCCGGACTCTGACCCAACTTCCCCTTCTCCTCCCCTCTGCCTCCTCCTAGGCCTTCACAGCAGCCTTCTGCCTCTTGGGCATTGATCTGCTCTTCTAGGGAAAAGGATGGATGAGGGCCCACAGGAAGACAACAGGCAACCAGACACCAGCTAAGTCGGTGGGTTGGACACACAGGGATATGGGTGTCACATTGCCCACTGGCCTCCCGCCACCTACCCTCCGGGGTGCGGCCACCACCAACATTCTCATTTCCTGTCTCTGCCCTCACCTTCTGTCCGGGCAACCACAGTCCATTCTGCTCCAGTTCCCCTGCCCCCACCCTGAATCAGGAGCCCACCATTGCCCAAACAACCCCCGAACCAGACTCCCTGCTTCCTTCCTTGATGCCTCTAGTCCAGAGTTATTTATAAAGACCACAAACCCAGCCATCCCATTCTCCTATTTAAGACTCATCGATGGCTTCTTTACATCACCTATCCAGCCGCACCAGACACCTCTCAGTGATTCACATTAACATTCTTCCACCTTTAAGCATGCTGTTCCTTCTGCCTGGAACAGCCTGCCTCCCAACCCCACTTACGCTTCAGATCTCCACCAATTGTCCCTTCTCCCAGAAGGCTCCTCTGACCACCTGTCCTTCCCCTCTCATGGCACCTGCTT